TGTGTGTGTGTGTGTCCGCAGCAACTTGTCCGCAACTTTCAACTCGGGAACCACAAAAGCTAGACGACTGAAACTTTGGTATAATGTTCCCACTCCCCACCCAACGGGTGACGCGGCGAATTTAAATTCAGCCTTCCTGTACCCGCAGGTAACATGTAAGGCTCCGCAAAAGTTTCTTACGGATAAATGTCTCAGGAGCCACGGAGTCTAGGAGGCTGAAATTTTAGGGTAATGACCCTCTGCCCACGCTCAACCTCGCCTTTTCAAATTCAGCGTCCCCGCGCTCTTGGGTATCAACTGCAGCCTCGTGAAAATTTTGACGGGTAAACTATTAACTCGGGATAAAAATATTCACCTTCCAAGGTTTCGAATTCAGCTTTCATGCACTGGTGCGTGAAATTTTTAACTATTTTCCAATTGTTGAACTGTTTTTGCATAGACAGAAGTACAAGGAAGTGAAAATCATTAATGGGCAATCGTTCGATGGGCTGAATTGCACAAAACGCATGATCGCACCGGCTGTTCTGGTGCGCGTTGCTATTTATTTTTTTTTTTTTGTCTTTGGGATTCCGTTTTTTCTTTCATAGGAGGGATGGAGGCTGCCTTTTGAGATGCCGTCGCAACATTGCGCAGTAGAAGTGCCCGTCAAATCCTGCATGATCAGTTGGAGGGACGCCGATGTTACCGCCGAGCAGCCGTCTAATATGAGTACATGTCGCACTTTGGGTTCGGATTCGAATTGCCGAAATTGTGCTTCCGGGTTTTGGTCGCACTAAAGATTGATAACTTCCGCTCAGCATCAAATTTCAGGCCGAGCACGAATGACCGTGGAGAGAGGGGCAGCTCTGGACCCCGTCCCTTCTGCTTCGTTACAACTGCCGAGATGTAGGCCATCACCCCGGGCCCTTCTCCTTCCCGTCTCGTCGTCTGCAACCCTACGCCCCCCTCCGTCCCCCATTCCCATCCACTGCAACTCGCTAAGCCCAGTTTTAGTAGTAGCCGCGAAAATACATTATGTGGTTTGCAGGGTGTGCTATGGTCGATGCATCGTACGAATCGCTTCTTGACTGCTGCGTCTCAGCAGCGATGGGTTCAATTCGAAGTATGAACTATGAGCAGATTGGGGCGCTGCTCGAGGAGGACGGCAAAATCGACGAGATCATCGACAACATTCCACAGGTCTGATCCATTTGGCGTCTGTTGGCTGATCAACCGCTTGAGGGGATCTGCGACTCCCTGGCTTATTCCTGTCCTTTCGCAGTTGCTTGATAGAAGTTGCCTTAATTCTGTCGAACGTTAAGTAAAATAAGGAAGTGTCAGCTGGGTCGATCATACAAAATCCGATTGCCGAGGAGCCAGGGGTAGGGGCTAGCGCCGCCACTTTGATGGAGAGGGCCGTGTTGGCAGATGAGTTCCGCACTAAAAGCACTGGGCGTCAGAAACTGATTTT